TTTGATCATTGCCTTACCAAAAATAAGCTCAGCTTTTACGCTCATTCTAATCATTGGTAAAGCAAATACTGCCAAGCTGTTGTAAGACTATTTCGTTTTTCTTATATTTATACTATTCGAAATGTAGCACGGACTTTCACTAGATTATAGAAAAAGTTGAATATGCTCAAAATAGCACTGCATGCAAATGTAATATTCATTTAAATAAATAGCCTGGGAGCAAAGTAAGGATAAAATGGTTCTTAAACATTCGTATCAAGTTATGTATAATCGAAGAGGGGATAGATGATGTTTCAGTGCTTTTTGGATTGTTGCCTATTAGCGCAACTATCTATCAATCCTCGCGAACAACGTCAGTTGCGTAACAATGAAAAAACTTTATAATCTTTGCAAAGAAAATTATGTATTGCACTTGCCATCTTTTTCACACTTTCGGCCAGATAAGAGAACAAAACAACATGCTTATAGAAACGATCGATATATTCATTGAGGTGACCTTCATATTGAACTGCAATGCTTTTCCATTGCCTGCTTGTTGGAAACGACTCATATCTCTTCCCGTTTGTATGGAAATGCTATTTGCGATGCGCTGGACATGATCGTGATTTTGATATTTCATTTGATTGCATTCAACCTTCCTAAATGCTATCGAATCACTGTACAAAAGATTGTTGTGAAGATATATAAGTCACACAAAAACCATCATTATACTAGAAAAGAAGGTTACACATAGGGTGGCGAGCAAGAGGAACGATAGATCGTGCATACTTAAGCGTCATTTTTGTCCATCAGCACACAGAAAATTTAGAACATACCCTTCTTTTATGCTTTCATCTAGACAGAAGAATCGGATAGATTGTGTTTGCTCAAAAATGAGGCGTGAAGATTAGCTGAAAATGTCAAAAAAGGCTCTCAAGGGTTAAACTTCAAGTAATTCAAGCTTATTCCTGCAAGAACGTCACCGACTGCACCACGGGATTTAAGCAAGACTTATTGAGTAGAGTATTAATGAATTTGCAATTTGCGAATTGTGAAGGATGTGAAATTTGACGGTCCCCGCCAAGGCAGAGACGCAGAATCGCTGCACTTTACATTTTAACTGTGGCGGCATGCATACTCTGCCGCATAGCGGGAATTCGGACAGCTCGGAGGACGTCTCCCCAAGGCGTAAGTTTCCCCACTTTCCGGTCGTTTTCTTGCTTTTCAAGCGTTATGATGTCGCACTTGTGCGATGTTGTGTCTGAGGGAACCACTCTCGCATGGCACTGAAATCTTAAAATCCCCATCTTGCCCGGACACGCCTTTGAAGGCAGTGTCCGGGCAAAAACTCGATTTTGAGATTTTGTGCTTATACGGGCCTATTCGCCATGCTGAATCCGAAAATCCACATTGGAAAGCGCGAAAACGGCGAAAAAGGGCTCTAATACAGGAGGGAAATCAGCAGATGGGCGGAGCTTTCCCCATTGCGATTTCACGATCCCAGCTCCCGGAGCGATTTTCTCGATTCCGCTAGCCGTCCTAACATCGCTACCGGTCAAGTGCGAATGATTGACTTGAAACCGGAAGCGAGAAGGTCGCTCTGAAAGCCGGGAACGTGAATTCGCAGTGGGGAGGACTCCGCCCACCTGCTGATTTCCCTCCTGTGTTAGAGCCGTTTTTCGCCATTTTCGCGCTCTACGCATTTTCGGATTCAGCGTAGCGAATAGGCCCAGGTAAGCACAAAATCTCAAAGTCGAGTTTTTGCCCGGACACTGCCTTTAAGGGTCGGGCGTACTTCACGCGATTTGGCCATTAGCTAGAACTCTCTAGATTCAACACTAGCAAACTGCACATGCATAGTGTGTATAACTTACATGGATTGATAAAATGCCCTTTTGCGCATGCATAGTGTGTATAACTTACGTGGATTGATAAAATGCCTGTCTTCTGTACATTTAAAATGTGTTTACGGTGAATTATGGACAGTTGGAACATTGCCAAATCGCTCTCGATTGAAATCGCGTTAAGTATGCGCGGCCCTTTACTCATACCTTTCTAAAAATTATAGTGAGGTAAAATGACATTTTCTCGGAGAAGTATTATGCTCTACTCTCCTTCATTTTCACAACCGGGCTAACTAAGGTAGAAAATTCTGTAGTGCACTCAGATCATGGCTTACGTGCTAAAAGCACAAAATATTCTTTCAAATAATTTGCCAACTATACCTAATAGATAGTACGTTCCAAAATATGCAATTTGATCTTATGCCACTCAGAATATGGATGTATGAAATTAAATACCACTAAAAGACATGACATTGCTTATCTGTCCTTCTATGTATTTACAGAAAGTAGCTGTGGGGCTTTTGAAGGCAATACTCTAAGGATTCAAATAGTTGCTGAGCATAGGTTACCTCACCTTACTGCTTCTCGAAAATTGACCGGGAGACCCGCTTGCATTCAGGGAATGAGCCTACTCAGCTATTTTTGAAAAGCTGCTGAATGTGTTCAAAACTAATGTGTTCCTGCAAATTCCTAGCGCGTTTTTGAATTATTAGACGAAGATCCCGAGCCGATTTTAGATGCTTTCAATTCTGTTAATAGTAAAATGATTTCTGCTCAAACGCTGCGAATATTTCTTTTTCCGGCAGAAGGTCCTTGTGGGCTTCTGAGTTAAGTCACTCTTGTCCATGTAGTGGCTTTTGCTGTGTACAAATATACAGAACTTTTCCGTCATGCTGGAAAATCGCTACTTTCGTTTTCACTCTTTCTTCCACTCCGCATAATCAAAACCGTATTGTATTCGGCAATTCAAAGACTGAATAGGTTGCTGGTTGCGCTCCATTTGAACATACTCTTCGTCATATGTTGATTTATCGCTGTGAGCGTACACCATTCAAACTGCTAGACATCAGGGCAAGAGGTCCCGTTCATGTGTGAGGTAGGTTGATAGGTTTTTGTGATTTAGTCTTTTTATGCAGCGACCAATCATGATTTTATGAGGCATTTGAGATAATTATCATAACATGTGACAATTATCACATCATGCTGTCTTCCAAAGATAGCAAGGTAAGATAAGTTGCTTTTATGTTTTGAGTCTTGATTTAGTCGTTCTTGACCAAAAGACAATATCAAAAGATGGCTAGTGGTAGAGAGAGCTTAAATACTTATCATATCTGCACTCCTTATCTGCCAGCACTTGAAGGCATACAAAAAGTGGCAGATTGGACTGTATCGCAAAATCTGACTCGACATGCAACAACGTTGCGAAAGGACCAGTTAGCCGCGAAAGGCGGCTCAAACTGGGGGCTTTCGTTCCTCTACCCGCAAAAACGCTTCGCTTGTTATCCCAAAACGATATTCAGCCTGCCCTTTAGGCCGCCCGTGCCGAGCCCTGGTCTGAGGTCGAACCTGCAATTCAATGTGCTAATTGGACGTAAGAGGTGTTGAAAGGAGGATGTTGAATAAACCATCAAAAGTCCATACTTATGTTTCAGGCATACTTACAAATAGAAAATTACATGACTTTTGCATAGGCGAGGCGCTTCATTTTAGGCTCTATCCAATAACCACTTCCCAATTCGCGACTTCCTATATTCTTTAGCGGGAGATATCGTTAAGAATCCGAAAACGAACAAGCGATAAAGCTTTTGCTTCCTGCAAATTATAGCTTGGCAGTAATGAGGCAGGTTTGAAACAGGACTTGAGCTCTTCTTACCAGAAAGCTTTTCGCTCCAAGTGTGAGACCCTCAATAATGTTGAAGAATTCCTTTAAAAAAGTAACTTTTGTGTATTGAACTACGTAGTCATTAATGCTTTTCTCAATTTTAATCCCTGCATCTATTAACCCATTGACGGCGACGCCTAATTTTGCGTGGCGGCGCTGTGGGACAACGCGATTTTGCACAATACTTTGTGCAAAATCGCGTTGGAAAGTTTTGTGAATATTTACGAAATGTAGTATTGTCTTGTAGACAACTACAATCATTTTCTTGGACGACAGAGTCTACAGGTTCCAAAAGTGCAAAAAACTGGAGGAACAGTGATTTGCGGAAAACATACTAGATGGAAAGGATATGATTTTGTAAAGGGTGTGGGCCACGTCGTTCCTAGCGGCAAAAAGTGAGAGCCACCGGTGGTCCACCGTCGTCAATGGGTAAGGTGGGAGTAATGGGACACCTTTATTTTCTCGCAACTTTATAACCGCCATAAGCGACTAGCCTTGCGTTTTAACGATTATAGGGTCACGGCTCTAGTTTATTTATTTATTTATTTATTTATTTATTTATTACATACGCTCTAGGCGTTCCCTAAAAAGACAAAAATACACAGCAACTCATACTCTAATACCACGATAATTCATCATGTAATTTGGGTCTAATCATTCGGACTAGATTATTGGAAGTGTGATGAAAGCCTGTTTGTGACCGCTCTAAGACTGTAGTCAACAGAACTGAATTAGTGTGTTTCATGGAGATGGTACCCATGCCCCTTTTTTGCCAGCAAAACAATTTTGATCCAAACAAGCAAACGGTTTGATGGTTGATAAACTGTCTAATCTCACCAAACCAGTATGCCGAGGAGAGTACAGTGACTCAAATGGATAGCAGTAAGGATTGTAGAGATTGAATAACTATAATTGTGGAAAAAATGCTAATAAAATTACTTTAGACCATTAACTAAGAAAAAATGCTTTTTTCTTAGATAATGGTCTAAAGTAATTTTCGGCTGGAAAGCTGTGTTATGTTCTCACTTCTAGCTTCTCACAAAATTGGAGCACCTGATCCTCTGTTTTTATAAGTAGAGCAGTGTTTGTATACTGCGATCTATTGAGACTATCCTGTAATCGGATGTTTTGTCTTCTGCTGTCTAGGGTGTGTTAATTAGGGGCCCTAACACTAATCGCCGCATAGTATTTGATAAGCATAAAGAGCCTACATCTTAACCAAAAAACTATAAGAGTCACATGTGCTGCTGCATTAGTTAGTCGTATTGATAGATAAGAAAAGAACACGAGAGGCATTCACAAGCAATTCGACAATGATGGCGCCCGCTACCGAGAGTAACCGTCAGTCTAGCTTCCGCAACCGCAGTAGGTACGTCAAAAGCTGATTTAGGGTAAGTACAGTTTGTCATAAACGGGTTAGGCCAGAGTTGTTACGATAGTTTATAATTCACTCATGAATTTCCTCCATAACGCACAACTCCGTGATGAAGCACGGCAAAGTAATTTGTTTCTCCACTGTACGTTCACCTACGTGATCTACACCTTGTGCTACCTTATAAGTTGATTATATCAGATTGAAGCAAAAGCCATGGCGTACTATATTCAATCGTAATTCTTACTGCCACAATAGTCCCGCATGGCATCGCCGTTGTTGGATAAATTATGTACTTCCTAGACACCTTTCTTACTCTTTACTTATTTTTGATTGCAGAGATAAATTAGAAAAAGGAGATCGCTTAACTACTTGTCTAAGCAGGCCCGCTAATTCCTGAAAATGCTCGACAAAATCTGGCACAGTCAATAATTTTTTCTGATCCCCTTTCCAACAGAGCTAAGTTCGCGCTGATCTAGCTCTTTGAAAAGTTGTGAAAATAGCATAAAACGGGGGATCGATTTTTGGCAATTTTTTGGCATGCACTTTTTTTGAGAATCATAATCTTCTAATGAAAGGCTTGATCAGCACATACTTTGCTCGCCGAAAAATTATGAAAAACCTGCTCAAAACGAAGCTCAAGTGATCCGTTTTTTTCCATTTTTACATCTGCAATTAGAACTTATTCCTAGTAGAGAGTAAGAAAGGTGTCATCAAAATTGCTAATTTTACTTTCTTCAATATTGCATGCAAGAGTATCATAAAAGCAAGACGTTACGATTTTTTAAAGCGGTGCGACAGAGCATTCAGCTCAATATTTCAATGTTCATTTGTGGAAGAGTAGAAAGGTGATGCCTAGACTATTCGCTAACGAAAAGTAGCCTATGACACGCTCCCTGCCCCGAAGTATATGTGTGCCAAGTTTGGTCCCGATCGGTTCAGAAATAAAAATTTCTATTCCGCACATACGTACAGACAGACATACAGACATACATACAGACAGACATTCAGCTTTATATATAAGATGTACTTGACTATAGCACCGTTAGCACCGTATATGAAATCAAGAGTGAATCCTATGACTTTGTTATGATCACTCGTTGGTACTACCTAGTTTACTTGCATACTATGAAAGTGCTGGACTGTAAATGGCAATTCCCGGCAAAGCCTTCGTCAGTAAAGCACCGTCCATTTCTTCTCTGTTGAATCATCTCATTCTGAATCGTACTGATTACATTGTTTTGATGCTCTATTACTTTCGTTGGCTCAGCTTTCGTGAGCAAGAGCGATGAAAAACAGAATGACTAAACGGAAGCATTTCTTGATATATATATATCTAACTCGAAGAAAAATTTCAGAAAAATTTGAAAAGAATTTTCCGCGAAAAATTCAGTGCCACATCATTTCCTTATTTCTTTAAAAAGCCGATGCCAGCTGTTGACAAGGATTAGTGGTAACTCAGTGCTTCGGTTTCATTCAACAATATTTTATTACATCACTAGCAAAGTAGGTTTCGTGTATAAGAATGTGTATTGGAAAGTTAATGTGAATTTTTGTGCTTTCAGACCATTTCAGTTCTATTGAAAAACCACCTACAAAGTGACTGAGATATCAGACATGAGAAGAGGATGAGAGAGATGAGAAGATGTGTAGAGATTGTAATGAAAACAAGCCCACATAGAAAAGACAGAATGCACCACGAATCAGTTACAAAATCAAACGCCACTCATTACCAGCTTTGTTTGAAGAGTGCATCCATAAATTGATTACGTGTTTGTATTCATGACTTGACTGTAATTGTAAGTCATATATTAGGTTGTAAAGAAGTTCCCGGGCACTTTTGGAATTTTTATTTTCAAACGCATTTTTTCGGCGCTCGATGGAACTTTGACACCAAGTTTTTTGTACTATTCATTAAAGGGAAGCCTAAAGTTTTCAGTACGCCTTCTGACTTTTATCGATGCCAAGTGTGTTTGATCTGCACATTAAGAAGAGAAATCTTCCCAACCACAAAAATTTCACAATTTTTCTTCATACGGCCATTTTTTTGTGCAGTTAAAAGAATTTCGTCCAACTCCTGAGTGATCTGGTTGAGAAGCCTGTTAACTCCTGACCCGCAGCTGCACTCGAGTTTTGCGGTCTGCGCTCAGAAATTACAAGCTGTCGAACTTGCCTATGACTGTAATTCTTTTGGCAGCTGGCGTCGCTTCTGCGGGGATCGCCACGCCTGGATGATGGGTCCAAAAGATATGCAAGGCATTACTTCACCAATGTTGCCAGTAATCAAAGATTTGGTCCTTTCTGTGCAGAACTAGAAGACTTCAGATTCACTAGCTCGAAAATTGGTGCACTTTTAAGGGCAAAGAATGGTCGATTTTTCAAACTTTCTGGGGAAAATTTTTTTGTAGGTGGTCCTTCAAAAACATGAATGGTCCCCATAACAGCCCCAGCAGACCTCTATATGACGACAGCCTCTGGGCTTTCCAGCTCTCATCCTGCCTGGAATAATCCTGCACAAATAGTCCACTTTTCGCGACGACCATTTTCTCTTCTGCGCATGCTGATGGACCGCAGTGTGTTGAAAAGTCAGCAAGACAAATATATGTTGTAGACAAATTTGCCTTTGGAACGAAGTTTGTAGCTTCAAAAAAGAATCAATCTGCTTGAAGTTACAGCGATTTGAAAAAAATTTTCGCAAGTGCCCGGTAACTTTCTTTACTAATAATTTTTGAAGGAAGACAGCTCAGAACTCGGTTTGGGAATAGTGAAATTCTCAAACTGATTTCTCGTGTGTCCGTCATTCTAGATTTTTGGAACGGGGGGTCGTTCCATGTTTCACCAGTCTTCCACCAGCTACCTCAATTTTCACGGTTTTGACATTATAAACTTCTTGGCCGCTTTGGCACCTTTGTTTCTCTGCTAGCATCATGACTGCCATATTTTTTTTGATTCAATCTTTGTTAAAAGCCTGCAATAACATTTTGAAAAATATGGCATTCTAAAAAACAGAATCTCTTTCCACCCATAGCAAAGGAAAGATCTTCTATCTAGAGTCTTGAATAGCTTTCAATTGTACTTTTATATCATGCCAAAAGTATAAAGAGAACAAATAATACACCGCTTTGCATGTGTTAAATGCTTTTTTAAGTCGATGTTATCCTCTGCTGCCATACATTAGTCACTAAAACATTTCCGAAAAGGCTGTAGTTCTCATATGACAAAATCGTTTTGAATTCACGAAATATCATTTTCCATACTTCTGGGAAGTAAGCATTAGTTCAAAGTTGAATTTTTTCATAGATATGGAATGTTCCCAAGAAACGGATCAATACGCGGATGAAAAATGTTGTTTGCCACAGCCAGGCGATGAGCAATCGTTTCACATTTGATTACTTTATCACTGCATTAAAGAAGCTGTTGACTTAGGGCTGGAAGGAGGAGCCTCTGACTGTGCCTGGCACCTCCTTTACGTGCAGATGTCCTTGTCCAGATTAGTGCTGAGGAACTTGAAGTCATCCTCATCCTTAGTCACTGAAGGTTTTAACAAAGCTCATTTGTCCAATTATTAGGTTGACTGATTAATAATTGGTTTTAACATGCAACTTCAAAGCTGTATAAAAATTCAAGTTGTTCTTTAGCTATGATTTTCTGCATGTGTACCTTTACTATCACATAGTCATTACATAGAATCTTCTATTGGGACAAAATCAATCATGACCTTATACAGCTGAACTTCTCAAAATTCACCATCTTCAGTTTCCAGGCCCCGTCCTCAAGCTGCAGTAAGTTTACAGATGAGTAATATGGTCGTTGGATACACATAGCCTTTTGCAATATGGCGAACCACAATCAAGCCGGACTACTCTTTGGGAATTTCCAAGGCCAAAAATGTCGAAATTAGGCATGGTGCGCGGTCAATTTTGGGGATGGTCCGGCTTGAAACTCACCATCTATGGCCACAAATGGTTGTAACTATCAAAATCCTATGTGTGCGTAGCATTCGTGCACTTTACGCTCAATCGTCGCTTTTTTGTAGCATGATTTTCGGAAATCTGACGAAATGGCTAATCTCGTGCGTCATTTCGTTATCAAAAAAATTTTGAACGAAAAACTCGACATCCGATTCTCCTCAATCTGCTCTTTCTAATGATATCATATTTATATGTTAATTTATTTATGACATTTCTACAAACCTTAAAAAGGACATAATTATTTTTTAGCCACCTAATATCACCTTTCGCCCAGTTCTTTTTTTCTCAAGCTCGGATTGTTAATGGCGCCCTATTTCGAATTCGAGCCAAACTCTAACTGTGAAATACATCAAGAATAAAGGAAATCAGTTATGACAGCACTAGATGTGTTTTGCATATCGATTGGTGCCGTGTCGTTGTCGTTCGGTCATCCATCATTTACCTTATGCAAACACTAGTCCTTGCCACCTCAACTGCCTTCTCAAGCCTAAGAAAGAGTCATTTGTTCTCTTGGAACTGTCGTTCAAATTATGCTCAGTGCTCTTTTTTTCTTCTTTGTTTCGTATCTTTTCTCGAGACGATATTTTGAGTGGCGCATAACGCTAACATGATGGTATGCAAAGAAATTGCTAAAAATTTCATTGCCAGCGGTTTTCTCCTCAAGTTCCTATAGTAAATCGATGGGATAAATGGTGTCGGCTCTGTTAATCCAACTCGAGTATCTTAATCCCTTGCTGGCAACTGTGTATCACATTTATCCTCAGTTTCTGCGAAAGGAAACTCCGGATTTTCCAACTTTCCGGACTTTGGATTTTCCAAGAATGTTGCAGTTTTGGAAGGTGAAAGTATTGGAATCATTGCAACTTATAGTCCTTTGCTGCCGAAGTCATCGATATCTCTTTGTAAGTGCAAAAATGATTATGCTTAGCATTTTTTTCTACACTGTTGATCCTTTGCTCCCTTCGATGCGCTTAAACTGAGAATTATTCTGCTATGAATGAAGTGATGATTCAAAGCAATTTTGTT